AATAATTTTTAGCATGGGAATATAATTATCTTGTTGATGTTAAAGATGAAGATGGTAAAAAAATAGCTGTTTGTATTGATGGTAAACATTCAGGAAATTACATGAGATTTGCTAATCATAGAGACGGTAAATTATTAATTATTTTTTATTGATTGATTAATTTATTGATTGACTGATTTATTGGTTTTCAATTTCAATTCATTATTAGATAACCAAAACGGAGGGCAATTATATATTGTACATGATGATATGTGGAATGTAGTTTACACTGCTCACACTCATATCAAAGTAAGCAATGATTAATATTATATATTTTTTATATTTATTATCTCAGATATATTAATTAAATTTTTTTTTCTAGACCCATGAACAAATATTTGTTAATTATGGTCAAGCATATTGGAATAGTAGGAAAAAATATAATTTATAAATATTAATAATTAAAATAGATTTTATATTTCAATATCTATTATCAACGATGATATGAAAAGTAGTAATAGTAGTAAACAGTGATGATGGCGATGAAAGCGTCGAAGCAAATTTCTTTTGAAGTTGATAATTATAACATTAAACTTATTAATAAATATTCTGATTTCTAATTTTAGAGAAAAAAGAATTGCATAATAAAATAATCTAATAATAACATCACATATTAATTTAATTTGATCAATAAATGGTAATTCTACCATGATTCTATCCTTTATTAATTCAATTGTAAATATTCTACTACTCAACTTTCCTACAAGTTTGATAAAATGATTGATTAAATACATAATTTCAATGTTTGGATTTAATTTAAACCTTGTGCGTTGTTGTCATGAAAACTTTAAAATGTTGGTATTAAAGAATCTATTATCTTATTATTGCTTTCATAATAATATGGAACTATATTTTTCGGGTCTGGTACGATTTCCTGACACTATTTACCGGCAAGACGTTTTCCGACAACTCAATAATGGTCATGGCAAGAAATAATTGATTTGAAAGTTTTTTCCAATAATTTAGGATTTAGAAAAATTTTTAATTCAATGTTGGGATGGTCGGTCTCAAAATGTAAAAGAATGAGATATCATTTGGATCACAATTCAATATTAAACAATTTATAAATAAAGCCCTTAACGGAAAATATATAGGAAATGTACAGTCGAACCTTTGTTTCAGCGAATTTTTGTTTTGGCCTCATTTTTTAATTAACAGTTAATTAATATTAAATATTTTCGTTTCAACGAATTTCATATTTACAACGAATTTATTGGTAGTACTAGCATTTTAATATTAATAGTAATAGTAGGTACTAGTCAGGTTTTAATTGTAAAAAAATTTTTAATTGTGTAGGATTGTAAGAATTTGATAAAAGAAAATTTCATCTTTATTTATACAGATTTTTTGTAATTTGATAATGTTATCTTTTTAATTAAACAATTTATTATTATTGTTCACTTTCATCTTTTTTATTATTTGAATATAATGTTTTATATCGCGTAAATTCATTGTAACGCTTGAAAATGTCTCAACAACAATCATTATCGTCATCCATTAAAAAACGCGTATATATCAACTACTGGACAAAAAATAAAACTATGTCTCTCATATTGATAGAGACTCCCTATGTCAAGCCATATTTATTCAAAAACAGCATTACTTTTTACTTCAAAATTAAGATTTTTACCAATATTACCTTTATAAACTTAGTGGGTGGTTAAAAAAGAAAAAATAGTTACCAGAATTAAACGATGATGAAGATATTTTGGTCGAATCCTTTAATTTCGGGCCAAATTAAATTTTATTTTATTTAATCTATTTTTATTTACATAATTTTTATTTTTACATTTCTATTTATTATTAATAACTTGTATAATAATAATTATCCTATATTCGTGTATATTTATTTATTATTATTATTATTATTATCTGTTATTATTATTAATTAATCCGTAACACGTTCATATTTATTTAAACTTTATTTAGTAGAGATTAATGAAGATTCTCCCGGAACGGGCGGATTCGCGCAATTCGGGCTAATATGTAAAGAATATGTATATAAAGAACTTAATTTCGACCTAATGTAAAAGTAACTTCTGATAAGTTAATTAGTTTCGACTAAATAAAACTAAATAAATAAATAGTGATATTTTATTTAAATAAACTTTTATCTTCTTTGAACAAAATTGATCCACACAAAAATAAAAATAATTGTTATCACCAATTAAAAATACGCTTTCCCAAATTTAATCGGTGACAATATTGCAAGTTTTCATATAGCTTTATGTGGATTGTTGTTTATTAAAGTTTAGCGAAAATGGCAAATTTTGATAAATTTATTTATCAATACACAAAAAGGGCAGGGGATTATCAGGAGTAATGACCAAAAAGAGTCCAAATGCGGCGATTTGGTTGATAAACTTTAATACCAATATTTTTTTCTATTTTATTAATAACCTCTCCTAATTTTTTTCTAAAGGAAGGAATAACCTGTGTATCAAATTTGGTGGAGATTGCTGAGCAAAAGGGGTTAAAATTAGGGTTTGTGGCTAATTTTATTAATTTGCAAATCATTTTTCAACCAGGGAATTTTTTATATATGGTTGACTCGGTCTAAAGACCTCCTATTGCTGCGCCATGCGGCCAAATTTCAAAATAACAATTTTGTACGTAATTCATTCAAAAATGTAATAAATTTTTTCAAAAAATAGGACTTCACGTGATTTTAGTTTTCTTACTGCCAAATTTAGATACGATAGTCAAGATAGTCTAAATTTGTCCCTAAATTTAGAAATGATCATAGTGGACAAATTCCTCGCGAGCATAATAAAGTACATGTTTTAAAAAAGAATAGGACTCTACAACAAATAATTTTTTTGAGAAAATTTCTCTATTAAATTAAAACTAAAGACATATTCTATCAACTAATAGAGCTATTTTTTTAAAAGGTGGGACAGAAAGTGACTTCTATACTTTTAAAATTTGCCCAAAATTTAGGAGGTCTTTAGACCAAGCCAACTATAGATACATATAAGATTGGCAGGACTAAAACCAATTGCCCAGTTAATATTGACCAATTAGAACAAACTTAGAATGATAGTCATGTGATGCACTAAATATTACATCACGATCAACAATCATCTTTCTATATTTATTGTAGCGGTTGTGCCGCATGTCGTGTAATGTTATACTGTAGATCTTCGTATTTATATTTCTACTTACTTAGCTTTAGTAATCAGTAGTTAGTAAGCAAGTAGTACAGATATTAGTATTAATAAGCATATTTTATTGGACAAAATATTGTAAAAGTCATGTTATCTGTAATACCTCAAAAGGTATAAAAATGCTTGGTTTAGACCAAGCCAGAATCATTATGTTAATGATACAATAAAATAACATTCATAGGGATGTCTCAAGTGGTATAGTTGTAAATATTTCTTGTATATATTCTTATTTTATTTTACTATCTTAAGTCTGGTACATAGCAATCATACAACCCTTTTTGTAAAGGGTTATGCTGTCACAGCCAAGACAAGCTTCTTTATCTCCTGAACTTTCACAAGCATAATTAGGTGTATTATCTTCTCTTCAGGTAAAGTATTGATCTTGCTTGCCTTTTTTAATTTATTGGTCATAATTAGCACACTAAGAACAAACATGGTGTTTACTGTCCTTGTAAACACTAATGACTCAATGAAGATAGATTTTACATTGGGGACAAACAGTATTAATTCTGTCTCATTTTCATTGCCCATGCTCATTTAGTTCAAAGGCCAATCAAAATTTTCTTTATTTTTAATCTTTGCCAAAGTTTCTTTGAAAATCTTTTTTTAATTCCTTTCTCAATTGGCTGTCTTGTTGTTTAATTCTTGCTGAATTAGACTTTGAGAACAATTTCAACAACAGAATCTAATGATTTCTCTATTTTCTTCATCTCATCAATTAACAGTTAAACATTCTTTTGTATGGTGACAATTAAAACTATTTTTTTTTTTGGTCATGATTTTTTTGTTTAAACTATGTATTTAAAAGAATTTTACAAAAAAAAAAAATCAGGGCTCAATCACAAAAAAAAGAAAAGTTATAATTGGAATGGAACATTATAATTGGTATTGATTTTAAAAATTTAATTGAAAAATAAAAATAAAGTGGATAATAACTTTGCATTAGATTTTTTTGTTTTGTAATTATGCATCTTCATGCTTGCTTCTTTTTCTAATATTTTATAAGTAATCTTTCTTTTTTTAGATAAGTTTTCAGTTTATTTATTTTGAAAATGTAAGGTGCAATTTTTTCACTTTGTTCTTTCTTCAAAATACTTCTAATTGTGCTATAATTTTTGGTAGACCTAATATAAATTAACTTCATATTAACTATTTTTATATAGAGGTAATCTATATCACTTAATATTAAGAATAAATCAAAGATAACAAATAAGAGATTTTAATAATCACATTACTAAATTTTGATCCTGTGAAATTCTTGGTAATACCAATGTTCGGTTTTGTTGCAGTATGCCCAAATTAAGATTAAACTTATCATTATATAGTGCATTAGCTGAATAAGACATAACCCGAAAAGAATGTCTTTCCTGTTGAATGATTTTAAAAGAATTGTTACACAACCACAAAAGGATATTATTTTCAATACTCCAATTCGTCCATAAAGAAAATCGTGTAACACGCCAATTTTGGTATTAATGTTAACTGTTAAGCTTTATGATCATGGTAATGTGACGTATCAAACAAAAACTACGATTTTGTTTTTGGATTAAAGGATCTACACAGCCAATAAAAAGTCCTGCGATTAAGTGACTTCACTGTGAATGTTTGTTATAATCAATCTACGCATAGATAGATAGATAGATAGATGTAGTAGATGACGGACGATATTAACATTAATTTTTGATACTATAATCCGTTACATTAGGGAGAGGTCCGTGACACAAATTATGTATTATTTATATAAAAAACGAATAAATTTAGTTAAAAAAAATATCTAAATATTTAATTTAAAGAATGTCACATCATTTGCCCACTTCCCCAAAAATACAACCTCAATTTACCACATTAAAAACTAAACCTACTACACACCTTGTTTTAGAGGTTTCTTCGCCTGCTGCTGCTAGACGTAACTCTTCAGCTGCTGCCTCTATAAAAAGTTTTAACAGTGATATTCGCATAAAAGAGAATACTGCCGTTGACGATTATCTTATGGGGCTTATGAACAGATCTGCCTCGAATTCTTCTAATGAACAACCGTCAAATAATTATTTACCAGCATTTGGAGGCACCAGAAACATGTTTAATGGTCATAAGAGAAAAGCGTCGCATAGTGAACAAGACAGTGATTTATATTCAGAACTTTCAGAGAGTGAAGAAATTATAGGCAAATATATATATTAATGCGAGAATATTTTTTTAAAAAAAGATACATGAAAAATTCATTTTTATCATTATTATTTTTCAGAATCGAACACATCATCAGATTCCAATGATTGTCCAATTGCTAATAATGAGCTTTCAAAAGATCGTTCAAAATCTGATTCCTCAATGAAAGAATATTCTGGACATCGACGTAAATATGGAAATGAAGGTTAGATAAGATTATTGATAATATATATATATTTATATATGTGTGTGTGAATTGAATTAATGTTAGTTTTATTATTAATCTAAAGACCCAGGATCTGCATCTTGGACTAAACATAGTAAACACTTTTTTATATTGAGTAGTGCAGGAAAACCTGTTTATACACGGTACAATTTATTTATCCGATACAAATAAATTTTTTTTAAAAATGATGATTAATGATAACTTATATATGTGTTAATAATGATGATAGATATGGAGATGAATCTCGCATATCGGGATATATGGGAATCATACAAACTGTAATTTCATTTTTTATTGATGCTGGGGATAATATAAGGTTTTATTTTTATTCTTATCATAATTATTTGAAGATTTCCTATTTTCTCTTGTAGTATGTAATTATTTAATTATTTTTGATTCTTAAGGTGTATAAATGCAGGACAACATAAATTTGTATTTTTATTGAAAGGACCATTATATTTAGTTGCAGTTTCAAGGACTAATGAATCTGAATTACAGGTATTATTATTATAATTTAAATTTAAAATTAGAATGTTTTTTTTTTTTGAAAATTTATTTATTTATCATCATTGTTTTTTTTTTTTTTTTTTTAAATAAAGCTTAGAGAACAATTGAATTATTTATATAATCAAATATTAAGCCAATTAACTTCAAAACAATTAACAAAAATTTTTGAACAGAGAACAAACTTTGATTTAAGAAAACTTCTTGGAGGTTAATTCTTTATGTTTGTTTATATTTAGGGAATATATTATATTTTTATGCATACACATAAAAAGCTAATTATAAACGATGATAATAATTTTTTAGGAACTGAGCCTTTTTTTGACAATCTTGCAACATCTATGAATCATGAACTTGGATTTATGTTAGGATCAGTTCAATGTGTTAGAATGAGTAAAACATTACGTGATAAAATTGGTAGCATAATGCAATTTGCAAGATCTAAAGTATGTGTTTATATTTTTCTTGGATTCAACATCAATTACAATTATCAATTACAATTATCAATACTTATCATCATCTTCTTCAATATTAGGATCTTTTATATGCCATGTTAATAACAGATAGTAAATTAATAACTTCGCTAGGACCTAGGAAGCATAACTTGCACCCTTCAGGTATGTTAAATTAACAGTTTATGTAATATAATTAAATTTTATTTTGCCGCAAATAATTCAAATTAAACAAACTTTTTTCTAGATATTCATTTGATCTTTAACACTGTAAATGGATCATCGTCATTCAAATCATATGAATCATGGGCACCGATATGTCTTCCAGGGTTTAACAGTAAAGGATTCCTTTATGTATATCTGTGTTATATAGCAGTGAATACATGTTTAGTATTGATATCACCAGACAAAGAAAAATTTTATGAATTATCTGAAGCAAGAAATGTGATATTTGAGGTAATGTATGATAATGATCATTATTATAATTGTTTTCCATTGTGTGCTCATAAAAGATTTCTTTGTTCTAGAAATTGGAATCAACTGGTTCATTAAAGGGAATTGAGGAAGCTTTACAAAACGATTCTTATTCTATTGGTAAGACGAAATTTAAAATGAGCGAGTTTATATTTTAAAACAGATCAACCTCTTATTATTATTTGTTTATTCTATAGATGATATTGGTGTTCCAGGTTTACGACATTTTATATACAAGTCAACAATTCATGTACAGTACACTTTGCCAACATTCGTTGCACCATATAATAATTCTAAGGAAAAACTTAGGTATATTTATATTTATATGCATATTAATTTTCATTTGGAAATAAATTCGTTCATTAATCAATCAAATCATTTATAATTTTTTTGTAATAAGGTTATTTAAATTGTATCGTCATGTACATGATCGTATACATTCTAAATTTAGACCACTCAAAGTATATTATTGTGTTAGTAATTCTGAAACCATACTAGGATGGGTGTGTATTACAACAATACTATTATTATTGTACTACAATACCAAAAAATATATTTATTAATTAATGAGGACCTTTGAAAAATAATTTTTTAGGTAACATCATCATTTGAACTTTATGCTTCATTCAGGCCACACATATCAAAAACTGCTTTAACCACTTCATCACATGCATTGCTGAAATGGATTAGAAAAGAAGAAGAAAATTTATTTATATAATTAATTAATTAGTCAATCAATTGAGTATATTTTAATAATAATATTTTTATTAGATTAATAATAATAATTTAATGATGTATTTATGTAGAATTTTTTTTATTTATAAACAAAATATGAAATTATTCACACCTTTGATTGTATCACTACTAAAGAACTATCCTCTTAATTTAATTACTACTGTTATTATTATTAATATAATTTATTATTATCAAAGGAAATTTTCAAGTTTACAATTGTTTCAATGGTGTCAATAATTTGTTTGTTATTGTATATATAATAAATAGCGAGGACAGTTGGTTTTAATGAGAGAGGTCACTATTGAGCTTAGAAATTATGATTTCGGGATTCAGTACCTCATACAGGATTATAACTGTTTCTTTTCTTTATTAGGAAATTTGATGATTTAAATAGATGTAGTAGTGAAGTTAGTGTCGTTGTCCTGGACAATTCGATGAGTAAATTGATTTACAACGATATCAGCAGCTTTCCCAGAGGTCATTTCTCCCTTAAATACTTTATGTTCTAACTCATCTACTAGACTTCTTATAGATTGATTGGACCTTAGCCTGTATATATATATATATATATATATATATATAAGAAGAAGAAAATGTATATGTATGATTTTCAAATAAATTGTGTATAATTGTATAAATAATATATTACATCTCATTTATACCTCTCCAAAATTTCTGATGTAATTTGACGCCACATCCACAGTTTTCTTTGTTCACCTCTTTTCTTTGCTAGTTCACTATAATCCTAATATTTAAAAATGATTATTGAAAAAAGAACTCAACATGACAATGAAATATATATCTTTTTTAAAAACCTTCATTGAATTATAATACTCTTGCATGACGTTCCAAGTATTTTCGATTCCATCATTAGTCTTTGAAGATACGCTTGTAACCTAGGTAAAAAATGATTTAATTTATCAAACGAAATAAAATATAATATATTCATTCATTTACTTTGGGTCTCCAGACAGGTGTGCTTGGTCGAAGATATTTTAATGCGCTAGTATATTCAATAACTGCTTCTCTAGCAGACTGTGCCAAAATTCCATCGGCTTTATTTACAATAACTAAATCAGATACTTCAACGATCCCTTTTTTCAAACCCTTAAAAAAAAAAAAAAGGATCAAAAAATTGGTTTATAATAATTTGAAGGATGTCATGTAAACCTTCAATAATTCCTTACTTGTATTTCATCACCACCTGCAGGCGGCACCATTAACACAAACCTTTTAATATTGATAATTGAATAATTAAAAATATGAGTTAATACACATGTATGTAAAATTATCTTTTATTTCTACACTAGTTAGAATAACTTACATATCAACCATTTCGGATACTATTGTTTCTGATTGACCAACACCAACAGTTTCAATAATGCATATATCATAACCCGCAGCTAAAGATATTAAAAATAATAGTTAATTTTTTTTTATATTTCATTATTCTTCTAATTAAATCGTGTTTTGTGCAATCACCTTCACACAAAATCATGGCTTCACTCGTATTACGTGCCACCTATTCATAAACAATAAGATCATGTACATGTATATTTTGATAATTTCAAAAGTTCAAAACCATTACTACTACTTACACCACCTATATAGATATATATATATATATATACATATATATATATAAATTACAAATTTACGCGAGTTAAATAAATATTAGATCAAAAATTAAAATAATAATAACAACATACCAAGCGTGCCACGACTTGGTGATGGACGGACATAAGCATCATTATTATATGACAATTCGGGCATTCTCGTCTTGTCACCTAAAATTGACCCACCTGTACGAGACGATGATGGATCAACAGCCTATATATCATCATAATAGTAAGAATTTGATTGACCAAATCCATAAAAACAAAAACTCTTTTTACCAAAACAGCTATTCGATGTCCTTTTGCGACCAAAAAAGTTCCAAATTTTTCAATAAAAGTTGATTTTCCAACACCGGGTGGACCAGTAATGCCAATTCTAAATGTTTTTATCTCCCCAGTTGAATTCTTTGTATTCTTCTGTGAATCAATAATCATAGAAAGCAATTGTTGTGATTGGCTTTTATGATCTTTGCGTGCAGACTCCACTTAAATAAGCAGAAATATCAAGTTAGGGAAAGTTGAAGATATAATCATGAGGTCAATTATGACCAACCTAATGTTATTGCCTTTGCCAAGTAATATCTATCATGATTCCTAATTCCCTCGTAAATATCATTGACTTTGGAAAGATTATGGTGTGTTGCATAAAGTGCTTTTTGGTGAAAATTTTTTAAGCTGTAACTTCTAAGTAACGGTGTTTTATTAAGTTGAAAAACTTGACAGAAGTTCCTTAACACCATCTAAATTAATGAGTAAAATTGTTGTACGTGAAAATGAAATTATGTGAATTGCGAATTCACATATGTGAAATTCAAATTTACATATGTGAAATTTCAAATTAACCAATCAGAATTTCACCCCACTCCATAATATTTCAATTTCACATACAACAATTATTAAATATAAATATAAAAGAAATTTTTTAAATCCGTAAATGAGAGCGAGTAGCACAAAATTTTTGTTGATTTTACATAATAATAATAATATTAATATGAACACAAGTGTTTGGACTTAAAATTTTTCTGTTCTAAGGTGCTTTATTTTTATCAAGTACACTTGCTCTAAAAATGAATATTACATATAACATTAATATATATATTGCTTTTTTTCAAGAATTTTATTTGTTTATCAAGTTAACTTTTCAAGTTTAATCATTTCAACAATATTATTAGTATGATTTGTTTTAACTATAACATTCTCATCATCGATATCATCCTCATCCTCAATAACTTCGTCAATCTCTTGACCTTTAAGAAGTTTTTGACCACTTTCTAAATCATTTTCATTGGTTTTATTTTGTTGACTTTGGCTTGATTCGTAATTTTTTGTCCAAGTGTATAAACAACTTCCTACAAGAATTATACCAATACTACCAACACGACCAATTGTAAGAATATCATGAAATATTGCTACACCAAGAACAGTTTGAATCACACCACGAAAAGCTGATGATATCATATGTGATATTGGTGATGTCACTTTGATTTGTAGGAATCCTGCAATGTTGATTAAAAATCCAAAGAATCCCTAAAAAAATTGTTGTAAGTATCTAATATTTCAATAATCCGTTAAAAAATATATATATCTTCTCAATCCCTAAATACCGTTACTACAATTCCAATTAAGAAGGTTGGTAAAGGTGAAGATGATTGTTTAAGGTCAGGGTCAGAAATATCGGAAAACATTTGAGCCAATTGATATTCTTCTCCAGTTAATAAGATCAAAGGAATAAAACAAACAGAACTTAATAAATTATTATAATAAACCAAGTCCATTGTGTTCTCTTTTACAACAGCCAAGCTTTTCTTAATTACAATTGCATGTAATGCTGTTGTGATGGATGAAAAAACTCCATAAAAAACTCCGAGAAATGAAATCGTAAGTTTTTCTGATGATACTCCAACAAAAAATCCAGTGCAAACAATAAAACATGATAAAAGGATCAAGAATGATGATCTTTTTTTAAGGAAAACAAGGGTGAATAAAACTGTAAATGGAAGAACCAAGGCACGTGCGACCTATATTAAAATTGGATATTGAGAGAATTAACAACTAAATTTATTTCAAATTTTTGAAAAAAAAAAAAGATTAATAATATTTACTTGATAAAAACTTGCGTCCACATATTGTAGACAAACAGTATTAAAACTTAATCCCAATACATTTATTCCGATTAGTGGAAATACTCCAACACATATATCTTTTCGAAGTTTTGGTAATTGTACTATACCAAAAAGACTAGAAATGTGTAAAAGTATTATTGCCATAACAAGCTGTGAGAAGAGCAAAGTAAAGGGAAGTGCTGCACTGTTTAAAACCCACTATAGAACACCAAAATAGCATTGTTTAATAATTTGTTAATTGACATTTATTAATTATTGCAGTTGTTCTCGTCATGAATTACCTTATTAACAAGAACCATAACAAGTGCAGTTGTAATATAAAACGAGACAGAAAAAATGACCAAGGAACGACTAGCTTTTTTTGGTTTTTCGTTCATTTTTAAATTCAATTACTATTAATTACTATTATTTGTCTATATACTTTGTCTATAATTATGAAAAAAAATTTTATTTTTAAATTTTGGGAATGAGTGTGCCTTACTAATGATTACGGTAAGTGTTAAGTAGTAAAAAGGAAATTTGCACCAAATGGGATTTCTGTCATTATTATCTAGCTGCATCGCATTAGGAAGTTACTACCGCAGCTGGGTCTATTTCACTAACAAACGATTTTGAATTATTTGATAAAAATTTTTTTTTTTACCATTTTTACTACTATATGATTGATTGAATACATTCTGAAAATGGATTGGTATATATATGTGAGGCGTATTCCCAAAATGAAAGACATTGCCTTTTTTGGGTATTTTAAAGGGTTTGTGTAATGTTGTTCAAAAAACCGTCAAACCGGTTCCTTAATGGAAAATCAAAATTGAAATTAAAATTGAAATTAAAATTGAAATTAAAAATCGAAATTAAAATTCATAATACAAAAAAAAACCAATAGGTTACATAAATAATTAATGTGTAATGTTTGTTGATCAAACAATAATTTACCAATTGGCTTATTAAATTTAACTAATTTATGCTTTAGAAAATTTAGATTGTTCTTTCAATAAATCAATTTCTTTAGATTGCTCTAATTGTGTTGAATTGATAGAGTTTAGGTGCAGACAAAATACTCTCACTAGTCTTTTTCTTGTTAATTGACTTAGATTTTTAAAATGCCACGTGAGATCAATAAAAAATAAAGAATTGGTTGAAAAGAGGGTTATTGCCACTTATCGTCACTCTAGTTTATTTAAGAAGAATTGTTATGGTGGTGTGATGCCTGATATAAGGTTGTACAGGCAAAATAATATACAGTATATATTTCTAATGTTAATTTATGACGGATTAAAAATGAATGAAAGGATATATTTATCACTATTTATTTTGAATGCTTGGAAACACTTCTCATCTAACTTCTGAATCACCTCGCCATTTTTCGAGACAGAACTTAAGCTCTCTATTAATATGTGTTTTAATTTTTGGTGGGTTAAAGTCAGATGATCAGAAATTTTAGATTTATCTATACCTTGTCGATAAGCCAATCAAATTTAAGCCCGCTATGTTTAAGATGACCAATCATAGTAATAGTCATGATCATATAAAGTCACATGTTTAGTATAAAAATTGTCAGATTCCACAAAAAAATTGATTAAAATAATTTTAATGAAAATATGGACGATATAGCTTCTAAATTATCAGGAATTAAACATATTATACTCGTTTTATCCGGAAAAGGTGGTGTGGGAAAAAGTTCAGTGACAACACAATTGGCTTTATGTTTGGTTCAAAATGGTGGTCATAAAGTTGGTATTCTTGACATTGATCTTACAGGACCCAGTATGCCACATATGTTAGGTTTAGATGACAAACAGGTTCATCAAGCTTCTAATGGGTAAGTGAGAGTGAGAGTTTATCATTATTATTAAAAGGCCATTAATTATTTTTTGTTTTTCAAAGATGGGTTCCTGTTTATGCAGACGAAAATCAAAAATTATGTTGCATGTCAATTGGATTCTTATTACAAAATAAGAATGATTCGATTGTTTGGCGTGGCCCAAAGAAAACTGGTTAATAATGATGAGATTATATTTAATTGATCGATTTTACATTCAAAAAAATTTTTCCTTGCACTTTTTATATCTTCCTAATTTTTTATAATTTTTTTTTTGTAGCCATGATCAAACAATTTTTGTCAGATGTGACTTGGGGTAATTTGGATTATCTTATTATTGATACACCACCTGGTGAGAATTAAAATATTTCAAAGTATGTGATATACAAACGATTTGATTTAAAATAAAAGAAAAAAATTATTAAACCTTTTCCTTTAGGAACCTCTGATGAACATATATCAATTGTTGAATATTTAAAAGATGTTAATCCTGATGGTGCAGTCATAGTTACTACCCCGCAGGTTATTCATTATTAAAAGAGAGTGTTTAAATGTTGTTATTTATATTAATAAGTTTTCATATTTATATTATTATTTAGAATGTTTCATTGTCTGATGTTCGTAAAGAATTGAATTTTTGTAAAAAAGTAAAGCTTCCTATATTAGGTGTTATTGAAAATATGAGTGGATTTGTATGTCCACATTGTGAGGTTGGTTATTATTTTTTTTTTCTTTTAAATCATTTGTTTTTATAATTTTGTTTTTACTTTAAAATCACTAATCATACAACAATGATATTTTAAAAAGGAATGTACAAATTTATTTTCAACTGGTGGTGGTGAATCTTTAGCTCAAGAATTCAATGTAGAATTTTTGGGTGAGATTTTTTTTTACCTGATATTTATTTATTTTTCATAACCAGAAATATTGACAGTTCCATAACTACAAATATAGGTCGAGTGCCTATTGATCCAAGTTTAACATTAATGGTTGAAAATAGTTATAATGGTAATATTGAAAATGGTTTGATTAAAGAATATCCAAGTTCAAATTTATTTAAAGTTTTTATTAATATTACTAATAAATTAGTTGAAAAAGTTACAAATTAAAAAATACAAAAAATTTTTTTTTTCCTCCGCTGTTAACTAATAGTAATATATATATATATATATATATATATTATTATTATTATTTATTATTAAAAAAGAAAATATATAAATCATCTAATTCGATATCTATTGGTTGATATCATAATCATTATATTCATCGTTTGATAATGTATTTCTTTATTGGTGATAATATGTAAAATTTTAACTCTAATTTAAAAAAATTTTAAATATCAAATTATCAATCTTAAAAATAATTCAATCCAATATTTTGCATCTTCAGAATCATCATCGTCTTCAGAATTGTCGTCTTCAAAATCTTCAGAATTGTCGTCTCCTTCAGAATCGTTCCCTCATTTTCTTAATAGCATTGATTCTGAAAGATATACATATCCAAGGATCGCCAAGGATTAATGAAAGTTCATATGGTAATTTCCTACTATTAAATAGATCATTCTTTTCATCGATCCAACTAGAAATTAAAAACTTTTTCCAGTTCTTGGGCCTTTTTGAGGCAACAATTTTGGTTCCATTTGTGTGTATATACATATACACACGCCTGAGATTTGGCCTTTCTTTTCCTGGAAGGCAAATTACCTAACTAATCATTTGTAGGGCCTTTTCTTTTTGACGTTTTAAAATAATCATGTAAAATAGTCTAACTAGAGTGATGACAAGCACCATTCTTATGATAAACACTTACCCTTTAACAGTACCAAAGATATCTTCTCTTCTTCTTTTTCCCTTTACGCATTTTAAAATGTTATTATTGGCACTTGATGTTGTACAAAGAATTTTTTTTTGGGACAGACGCGATTGTTTTTGTTTTTTTTGGGAAAAACAATTTATTTTTGACAGATGACAAACGTGAAGAAGTGTTAATAACTAACCAAATATACTATTTTTTATTTGTATTGATATAATGTGGTGTCCTTTAGTTTATATATATTTTAATTGGAATCAAAACGCGGAGCAGATCTTGCTGGGTAATTATAAGATCCTTATCAAGCAAGTTAACGAACGATTGGTATTTTGCCTTTTGGAATCATTAATAATAAATAATAATATTACTATAATTAATTACAATAATTAATCACAAGATGTCAAGGCAGCATGACTGTCATATTTCGATATGCGATGTTTGATAATCGGAAATTATTAGCAGGCGTTGAAGCAAGCACGCTATCTTGAACATTACAGCCATTCTCACACATTCCTCGTGCACACAAGGCTACTCTGGCGATACAATGATGCAAATGAATTCCAGGGAGTGTAGCTGAATGATATTCACCGATAATAATAATTGAATAGTCGGTGGTACAGAAATATATAATAAAAAATAAAAATTTTTATCCGCGTAATTGAAAGAATACATTAACATGTTAATACTAATTTATCCACTATTACACAATCACTAACATTCTTTATATTATAATAATATATCCGAATACCAACTGTGACATTATTATTTAAAGAATATTTATGCATTGCAGTAACTTTTGCTCCAAATGAGCGACCTTGTCACAGCACAGACTACGTATAATTAAATTCTTGTCGTGTTAATTTTTTTGGAAGTTTGATACCACCAAGATTTTACATGAATCCCATAATGTAATTCAGAGTCTAGATAGTAATAATTGCACTGATGAAGCATCAATATCATTATTGAAAGAAATTAAAGATGCATTGGATTTTTTTAAAAAAAAAAGAAATTTATTATTTAAAAAATATAAAATGATAATCAATATGCAAATCAAATTGGTTTTCTTTTTAAAAAATTTTTTTAAATGTTTCGAAATTCTTTGAGAATAACTTTAATTTTTAGTAATATAAAACAAAGGACCAATAATGCTATTTGTAAGCGAGTTTATATGTTTACATACTTTTCAAATTATTCTCTTCTTTATACATATATATATATTCTTTTTTTGAAGCATAAAAAGAATATTTTCTTTATAAACAAATTTTTTAATTATAGCATTTAGCAAGCCTTTTAGTACGATCGTCAGTCAAAAGGATGAAGATAATAAAGGGTTGTTAGCAATAAAAAAAATCTTAAAAATAAATCATATACATTTAAAATTTCCTGGAATTGCAAGAAATTTTTAATTAACATTTGCATATATTTATAATGATTATATATATATATATATATATATATATAGCCCAACAGGAATTGTTTTAATGAACCTTGGTGGTCCCAAAACTTTGGATGGAGTTGAAGATTTTCTTACACGACTTTTTTCAGATCCTGATATTATTCCCATACCATTTCAAAAACATCTGGCGCCAATAATAGCCAGACGAAGAACACCGAAAATTCAAAGTCATTATTCAAAAATTGGTGGAGGATCACCAATATTATCATGGACACAGAAACAAGCTGATGGATTAGTAAAATTGTTGGATAAGACAAACCCTGAAACAGGTTTGTAAAGATTATGTTACAAAGTTATTGGTTAAATTATTATGATATTTGAAATATTTATTATATATTTATATGTATATATACTTATACTTATATATAGCACCACATAAACCTTATATTGCATTTAGATATGCACCACCTTTAACAGAGGATACAATCATACAAATGAAGAAAGATGGTGTGCGCCGAGCTGTTGCATTTACCCAATACCCACAATACTCATGTTCAACTACAGGAAGCAGTTTAAACGAATTATATCGTAAGCTTCTGAAACACGACACTGAAGGATCAATCAAATGGAGTTTGATTGATCGTTGGCCAACACATCCTGGTTTAATTAATGTATGGTTGTAATTATAATTATAATTGAACAATTGGTTAATTATTATTTTGATTGCATGATTTTACTCTTTATTTCTAAATATTTTTAATTAATAAAATTTATTCACAAACTTATTTATTTATTAAAGGTATTTGCACATCATATAGAAGAATCACTTAAACAATATCCTCCTGAGACACGAAATAAAGTTATTTTATTATTTTCAGCACATTCTTTACCAATGGTAGTTGTGAATCGTGGTGATACTTATGTGAATGAAGTGGCAGCCACTGTTCATCATGTAATGGAACGTTTAAATTTTTCAAATCCATACAGACTTGTGTGGCAATCTCAAGTTGGGCCTCAACCTTGGATGGGGCCTAAAACTGATGAAGTCATATTTGGTTATGGAAAAAAAGGAATTAAAGACATCCTGCTTGTACCAATTGCATTCACATCTGATCATATTGAAACACTTTACGAATTAGATATAGAATATGGTCATGAAGCTCAAAAGGTATTCTATTCTTTTTTTATATATATATATATTTTATAATAATAATAATAATAATAATAATAAATTTTAATGATAATATGGTAGGCTGGAATTTCAGGAATAAAACGTATAGAATCGTTAAACGACGATCCGATGTTTATTGAAGCAATGGCAAACATTGTAAAAGATCATTTGAATTCAAACAAGTCAATGTCTACACAATTAACAATCAGGTGTCCAAAATGTAAAAAAGATATTTGTCAGGAAACCAGAGATTTTTTTACAAATCAATAATGTAACACATGTGTCTTTTGAGTTTACAGTTTTATGAAAATAATTAATCAATGGCTTAATATAAAAATTAGCCTATATTTAAAAATTCACCTTTTATTTATATCTCTAATTAAAATTATGCAAGTTGTAAAAAAGTTATACAATCAATATACAAAAAGTTGTGCAAATGTTATTACAAGTGTTATTTAAAAGTCGTATAAGCGATATATAAAATATATAAAGCTATAAAAATCATAATAAAAAGTCACATAAAAAATATCTCCTATGAACAAATGGACTTTGCTTTAACAATGTATCGTGATGAAAGCACAGGTATTATATTTTTTTTAGATAAAAATACCATTCGATTAGATTCAGCTAATTGTGAACTAACCAATGGCTGGCTATGCTCATATGGTTTTTGGCGTGCTATAAATTAAGATGTGAAACAAATATATAAATAAATAAATAAATATGTGTGTGTGTGTTTGTGTTTGTGTGTGTTATTTAGATTAATGAATAATGATGAAAGAGTAAAATTATAAAGATCATCTATTTAACCTTTATGTTCAGTCCACTTGTCACGATCTCTACGCGACATTCTTTTGAATTCAATTACACCACCTTGTGGCGTAGAAACCACCCTCGATTTACTTCCAAAGGAAACCATTTCTCGATTCTTTGGAAGCTCTGTCCACAAGGTGCGTTTTAACCAGGATGGTTGTTTTTGTGAAGACCTTCTTATTTTACGATGACGTCTTTCGTGAAGCTTCGCGTTATAGTTTATTGTAATATCATCTCTACTTAGCAATCTGCGATGAATATGGTGGCCATTACTTTTTTTTAAAAAAAAACAATCAAGTTTTAATTACGCAATCATCAAAAATAGTTGAAAAAAAAATTTTTAAATGTAAAATTATAATAATAAAGATTACCTGTCATTATCATTACTATTATCATTATTACTAGGAATCATTTTTCTTATAATGAAGTAAATATAAAGAATAAAAAACGATAAGATTTCTGAATTAATTGATTAATGGAAAGTTTATGGATTATTTGTAAATTGTTAAATTATTTGTTGAAAATTTTAAATTTTATTTATTTTATTTAAAGAGAGATAGATAGATATAAGGGGTAGAATTTATATATATCTATCTATGTGTTGAGGTTTAAATTCAAATTTACGTGATTCGCGTATGCGTTCTATTTACATATAATAATAATAATAACAAGTCAAAAAAACTATTATTAGTATAGGTTATGATCATGCATGGTAATGACGGATAATGAATTCCCACTCTTCCTTCCTTATCTTTTTCTCAATGTGGAGAGAAATGTGTGTTTGAAGATGATACCTCTATCTATGGTACATAAAAACGTTTCGTGTGACAATAAAAAATAATACCCTGGTAAGAGATTATGACACAGAAGTTGTTGCTAAAAAACCTTATTTTAATTGGGTAGTAGTAGCCAATAGAGCATCTCACGTGACGAACAGATCGAATGCAATTTTTGAGGAAGGAGTCTTTAAAATTTTTGAAGAATTTGCAAGGTATTTAAAGAAAATTTAGCCAAAAAAAAAAAAAAAAGAAAATGCGCGCAATTGATTAATTATTGGCAATAAGTCTAAAAATATAGGCATACATTTTTATTACCCTGCCTGCCTATCAAATAGAAAATATTCTAATTAATAATAATAATATTTTTAAATTCATTTTTTATATTATCCAAAAAAACCATATTATAGAAAAATAAATCTAAAAAAGTTACTATTATTATTATTATTATTATTAATGTTTTTTTAAAAAGTCTTAAATCTTAATAAAAAATATCTCTAAAAATATAAAACAAAAAATGTCTTTCAAAATCAAACCTTCATAAATTAAAATCTATTAAAATTTATTTTTGTATAATTACGAAAAGAACCGTTACAACCAAAATTCCAGACAAAACAGCAATTGGGAGATATGGTTTGTTTTGTTCAGCTCTTGTCATTGGATTATTTCCATCACATACAGCACATGTATAATCTATCAGACATAAAAAAAAATTTTTAAATGTGGATTAAAAAATAATTCAAATAAAAATTAATAAATAAAAAAAAGATCTTTTACCTTTTAAATCAGTGCGTGGTTTTGGTTGATACATCATAAAACGTAAATCAAAATAAGGTTGTAATTGGCCACCTACAACAGAAGATGGTTGTGGACCTCTCTCATCCCATATATACAAAGTGTAAGTTCCAACTGGTAATTCTGGATTTTTAACTTTGGAAGTGTCCCATACAAAAGAGGTTGTATCAGGCGGAAGATTCACTGCAACGGTGAAGTTATAACCTTTTTGATCGTTGTATTTGGCAAACATATTAAGGTTTTTTGGTGCAACAGCCGCATCAAATTGTGATGAATATGTCCAATTGAATGTTTGTACTTTTCCTATTTTAAATAGCAAGTTGCTACTAACGGGTGGACTAACCATTTTTATTCTTACTGGTTGAGTATCGGCAGTTGGCAAAGTTGAAGTAGGAGTAGGAGTAGGGGTAGTTTCAGGGGCTTTGGGATCCACCGGTGGTGCTTGCTTGGGATCTACCGGTGGTGCTTGCTTGGGATTTTGCGGTGGTGCTTGCTTGGGATTTTGCGGTGGTGCTTGCTTGGGATTTTGCTTGGGATTGGGATCTTGCGGTACTAAAGTAATTATACATGTTAATAGATGGGATAAATAATAGATACAAATGTTATCAAAATAATTACCTCTTTTACGTAATTCTTGCCCTATTGTAAGTTGAAACAATAAACATAATATAAATAAAATAATTAAAGGCTTTGACGTTTTCATTTTTTCTATTTTCTTTTTCTTTTTCTCTATTATATATAATTATTATTATACAAGTTTCATTTAAAATTTAATAATAATAATAATAATAATAATAATAATAATAATAATTAATATTATTTATTAAAAAAAAAAACTAATAATTCAAAAAATATTTTAGAGAAAAGAGAGGGAAAAACAAAGAGCCCCCGTAAAACAGAATTTAATCATTAAAAAAGTTTGTTTTTTGGTTATAAATAGAAATATGCATAAAAAACTTTAGTTAATGCAGTTTGTACTACTGTTTTAAACTCTTCTTCCTCCACTAAAGATGTCCTCGATGTTGCGAGCAGCAACAAACATTTGAATTCAATTTTTAAAAGCTGAAATGTTTCACGAATTAATATTAATAAATAATTTTTTTTTAATTATTTTAATTAAACGAAAGAAAATGCAACTCAACTAAATCAGTGCAACATACTATATCTCTCTTTGGAAATTTCGAAAATTTTCGTTTCACAAAATTTATTGCGTTGTATAAACCTTTTGATCATTGACATCCCAATTTTTTTTAAAAACGTTCAAAAAAACAAATAAATTGATCAAAATCAAAGCCTTTTCCAAAAATGTGAAGAAATATTTTCCGTGCCACCAAAAATTTAAAGAAAAATCAATTAAGCTTTTTTTGAAAAGATTCTTTCCTACTACTACTAAAAATACCAATAAGAAATTAATCCATTGTTGTTCTAGTATTAGCATTACCGTCGGAAAAACAACAATTTGGAATTAATTCATTATTATTAATAGGAAAATCAATCAAGTTTTTTTTTGAAAGATTTTTGCCTTTTTGGAACAATTCAGAATTGATTTTTATTTATTTCTAATTATGATTAAAATCTTGTATCATTCAATAAATTTATCTGACAGTTTTAGTAATTATTTCCTGAGCTAGGAATGTTATTTTCCTATTGACTGAAAGAAAATACATTATTTTTACTGAAACAAAATTGCTCATTCTCATAAACCATTATATGAAGAAGAAAATAATAAAATTTGGTCTCCCAATCAACAACAATTTAAAATCATGGTGTTGTTAGAAATGTTTATTAACTGTTCGTAAAGCTAATAATACAAAATAATACAAATATAATAAAAGAATAGCCAGAATTATTACAGATCTGAACAATAGAAAACCAACAATTCCAACATAAATAGATTTAATTATTTGTCTTGAATATCTTTAGGATTATAATTTGGTATATTGGTATATTGGTATATAAAAATATACGTATATATTAACACATCTCTTTGTAAGGAAATACGTATATATATAAGAATTAATTAGGTTCTTTTAATATTCTATTTTCATAGTACATATATTAGATTTATAATTTGCAAAAAAATTTTTTTATAGAATGATTTTTTTTAATCATATCATGCCTCTACATTTACATGTATTATATGAATAAAAATAATGATATGAAATAATGATATGAACGTAAGGCTTTGGACAAATCGAATATCGAGTTGGATTCAAAAAAAAACTGGATTCGATTCAATTCCATTCGTTCTGTGATTTGATTCGATTCAAACCAGATTCCTAATCATAATTTTTTTCGATAAAGAATTTATATTATTTTTAATTTAAATTCTTAATTGATAAACATAAAAGTTTCATCTAAAATTTGTTATACCAGAATTACTAGTCGCGTTTCAATGAATTTTATATGTAACGTGACTTTAATAATTTGTTGAACAAACAAGAGTTTATTGTATTGTTAATATTAATAAGGATAACAAATAAAAAGTAATTCATTGCAAATAATAAATATGATGAATGACGGTAACTCAAGGTTGGCCGTGGGACTGGTCCATTGATGGTCATTGGGTATCATATAACAATATTTACTATTTTATTAATCGCAATGGACCATACCAAAACTCATTGGTCTCAATGAACCCAGGCTATTGCCAACCCTATGATAATTGAATTGTCGAAAATGATGCCCCTTCAATAACTTCTTTAACACGCACAGTGAAATGTGCTCAAAGAAGGACAAGAAACGAAGTGCGGAACCATTTCACAGTTGTAGATGTGTAATTATTGCACATGTAAATATTTTTCGACTTTTGACCAATTTATTTCCAAAAGAAACTTTTTTAAAATTATACAGAATTCAAATTATTCCATATGGTATATATTTGAATTAAATTGTTTATATGTTTGAATTTCATTGATTCGCTTGGAGCCTTATATGAATGTCAATTTAACTGGGGAGGGTGTGATCTCTCGGGTTGTATTAAGCCCACTTTTCTTCATGAATTAATTTTTATTAATTACCTCAACTAAATAATATGCTAGTTGATAATCTTGCTAATAAATACAAGTCAATTAATTAAAGTAATAAATCATTATCAGCACACATTACAAAAGGGTTTACCCAATCCACCGACAAATGTTTTCCTGGCACAGTTACGCCAACAAGACGTTATGCTGACAAGACATTTTCTAATTCATTATATCAGTTTAGGACTAATTACCCAAAAACGTACGTAATAACTATACATAAAGTTTATATAATTTTATAGCTTTAAATATTCATGTAAAATTTTATTTTTTCGGTTATTTTAATAAATAAAAAAATACGAACTTCAATTGAAAATTTTTTGAACAAAAAATTGTTTATCAAAGTGCTCAAAAACCCACATAATTATTATACGTAAATTTATATTATATTGAACCCTTAAATTCAGAGAGTATCTATGGAAAACATCACATTTCTATTATGTTTAGTAGTTCGTTTCGATTATATTCAGATTTTAGAAAAGAACTTGTTTGATGGGAGAGGTTATTTTTTTCATGATGATAATTCACCAGCTCACACAGCCAATGATATTCAAATTTGGATTCATTAAAAGAATGGCCGTCTCAATCACCTGATCTTACATCTCTGGAGTGAGCCGGAAAGGAGATTAAAAAATCGAAAAAATCATCCAAAAAAAGCAAGTGGACTGGAAATTGCATTGAAAGAAGAATGGCAGCAAGTTCCTTACGAAAAATTACATGCACTCATTGAAAGCATGCCAAAAAGAATTGAAGCATGAAGGATGGCCAACTGAATATTTTTTGACGGTCAAAATGAAAAAAAAATTTTTGGTTGAAATTTGTATTTTTTTTTATACGTACATAAACTGAAAAAATAAAATTTTACATGAATATTTTTCAATAAAAAAATGATATAAATTTTACGTGCGGATATTATGTATGTTTTTGGGTAATTAATGTAAATAGATGTCCAAATACTTTTTTTTCCCGGTGGTGTATCATGCCATTATCATGACATATATCTGAGATGTTAGCTGATTGGCCGGCTAATCTATTTAAGTCGGTTAAGTTATTTATTAGCCGGCTAAGCCGTTTAAAAATTCCTTGGCTGGCCGTCATCATTAGTTTTGTTATAAATGCAGAGCTTTCAAACATAAATTTATTCAAGGATAAGTTATGAAAGGGTCAGAAAATTCGTGATTTAAAGCTAACCTCTCCCCCTGTGATTCTAATTTAACATATGATTTATAATGTCCCATCCACCATTTTTTTTATTTGAAATAAATAAATCCTTTTACCTTACGACATTGAATTTTTTTTTTTGTTTGTTTTAATATATAAGAAGTTTTGTATGATGGACTTACCTGACTTTTATCAGAAATGATGTAACAAAACAATCCAAACTTGATCACCAACTCACTCATAAAAATCAAATTTGCAAATAACTTTCCAATGATATTTGACAAAAGGATTCGGATTTTTCCATTCTGGAGAGAAAAAAAAATTCACATTTTCTCTTCTTTCAAAATGTTCTCACAAAAGCAAGAATATTTCCATTGACACATATGCCTTACATTCACTTATGGAACTAATATGATTATGTCACTAGTGATATGTTTTTTTCGGTTGCTAAAAATTTGACCTCATTTGTGTCATCATATTGCATACCCCAGATTATAACATTCTAAAGGAAATCTTTGAAAACAACAACAACAACAACAACAACAAAAACGACTTTAATAGTAATTGACAAAAATATTTGTGATATGAGGTTTAAGAACTATTCATCATCATCGCTACCTTTATGCAATAGTAGTTTGGTTATTTGTCATCCATTCGCCTTCTTTTGCTCACCTTCTTTATCTTATACATCTATAATCATCATTCTTATCGAGATAATTCTTGTTTTTCTGCTAATCGCTACTCGACAAAATCAAAAGTGATAAATTTTTATCGTTCAAATTCTTCTTCTACAAGTTTTTTCCTCTTCAGTAAATTTTTTACATCCTATACCCAAATAATTTATCATAATCAAAGCAATCATACTTGTCTGAATCATATCCACTAATTTCTTTGAATTATATTCATCAAAGATGTCATAAATGAATTTTTTTTTTTTTTTTATGTTGTTAGAGTTGGTAGTGGTAGCAGCAAGCAATAATAATAATAGTTTATCTATACCATCATTGCCATAATTCTGTTCCATCGACAAATAAATACTACAGTTTCGATAAGTTCTTAATTACGAAAAACCGTGTTAGGTTACACCTTTATCCCTCAATTCGTAGGGATAGAGCCTGGGAAAAACATATAAGAGGGATATCTCCCCTTATCAATCTTATCGATCTGTCGGATAATTCACTCAAGATCTACGGACCAGGTGATCAGAAATATATCCGTGCATTTATATTTATCCCTAGTACTAGCCAGGCTAAAAGCTGTAATCCCTCTGAACACAGGGATAAAGGTCAGACCTACCTGGAAATCGTCCGCATATGGTGTTTTGATTATATTAATTTCCTAAAAAAGAATTAAACAATTACCTGTTTCATACTTGTTCCATGATTGTGTTATATCAGGTTATTACGCGCAGTAATGATAAAAGAATGTTGGCATGTCAGAAATCATTAAAATAACAATTTATCAGATACCTTTTTTATCTAAATATTTATTTTCCATATTTTCTCTCTTGTAAAGGAATTCACAACTCCCTCGTACACTAAACGCATGCATGCATGCACACGCACAAAATGTCGTCTTCTTTCGCTATAGCTTTGTATTTGTTATACAAGAAACGCAATATTTTAAAAAATTTGTTGAAAAAATCAAGTATACAAATGATAATTGAAAGATAACGAGCGGGCGGGTAGGATGATAGTGAGTGGATGGATGAGTAAAGAAAAAGATAAACAAATCGTTACAAAAAAAAAAAAAAAAAAACAAACAAAACCAGGTAAATTAAAAAATTAAAAAATTAATTCTAATTTGCTATTTGATTTCGATCAGAAAAAAAAAATGATTACATTTGTTGTGTGTACAAATTCAGCCCAATTTATTATTATTTATTAAAATTAAATAGATAATATCGTTTTTCTAAAATGAATTTAGGAAATTTAGGAAAAAAAATTTTATTTTTCCTATTCTGATATAAAAAAAACTTGAACTGATCTTCTTTCGTTTACTAATTGAGGCGATACGATGAGATAAACTTTTCACAATATTTTTTGAAAATGAAGATAAACATCGATATCACACAGATATATATTTAAGTTTGATGGGTATTTTCCATTCGTTCATTCTGTCCTACATCTTTAAGAGATATTTACTCAAGTGAGGAGATAAAATGACAACTTTTATTGATTGATTAACGTTTATTTATTAATAAAAAAATCTTTATTATGCTCAGGAACACAGTCGTTTTTAATGATAAAATGAACTTTTAGAAATCTTGAACATGGTGAATAAACGAAAAAATGTTATTGAAAAATCAAATTGACGTCAGATACCAATAAATGTGGTTGTTTAGTATGCAAGATAAATACAAAAGCTCCTCTCCCTACTTTTACTTACGCATATACAGAGAGAGAGAGTATGGTTCCACTGGTTGAACAGCTAATAACAAATAATTCCGAACAACAATTACATCATTTTATTCCAATATAGCAGTATTGATAATGGTAATTTTAAATAAGAAAAAATACCTTATTATTAAAATTAATTTGTTTTTACCCCACATATACACAAAAAATAATAAACGTATGATATTCCCGTGACATTAAATAAATTAAATACCTGTTTAAATAATAATGATAATAATTACGTACGAGTGTTAGATTGGCCGTGAATATAACTATTGATAACGGTGTTAGATAGATGGATGGATGATGATGGTAATAAATATATATTTATTTGATATGTAAAAGGATTACAAATATCTGCAGCAAAAAAACCCTAATACTAAGTAATAAAAAGAATGAATGACTGGAATGGGTAAATAAAAATCAAGAGTTAATTGTCTTAATGATGTAATATTGTCTACTATTTATGAAAAACTAATAAAGCTAACCGATTTCAAAATCAATTCAAACTAACCCAAGCTAATCAACATCTTTCTATCTGTGATGTTTTAAATAGAAATGTGATTTGTGATAAATGTTGTATGTGATTTCTAGATTTATGCAATATGTGTGAAATAAAATTTATGTGAAATAAAAATAGCATAAATGAAAACTTTATATATTTTGTTGATTACATATTTCGATTTATTCTTTTTACGCGCAAAAAACCATAATTAATTATATATATTCTTTTGATAGAGAAGCAAGAGAAGAGGTAAAGAAAGATAATGTATGTAAGTGATAGAATGAAGTGAGAATAATAGTAAATGATAATACTAGTATTAATATTAAAAAACATAGAATAGATTACTAGATAATTAATTTACTGATTACAAATTATATTTTATGATACTACTATTTAATTACTACTAATTACTACTAATTACTATTATTAATTAATATATTTAACTTTAATTCATAGAATAAAACGAATAAAAACATTTGTGTACCATTCATTATGAAACAAGTTTTTTTACAGAGTTTTGTGAGCATTTTACTATTATTATTTATTAATAACAAGTATTCTTCGTCTCTTTCTCCTCATCTTTCTCCTCTTGCCGCTTGCTAATTTTAGTAATTTCAATATATCTAAAAGTCAAATTATTCTCCACGATTGGTATAATAATAAATATCATTAAAATAATAAGAATATATATGCAAGGGATGGATTTCACTTTATTTTTTTTCTCGATATTTTAACTTTATTCTGTGTTCACGTATCACCTTAATAAAGTCAAATTAATACATGACATTTACACACAAAAAAATATTTTACATAATCAAAACAAAAAATATAAAATTATTGGCACACTTTAATAAATATAAAGATGATGAATGTATTTTTCATGATATATCATTGGTTGATTAACATAATAATAATAATAATAATAATAATAATTGTATATAATAAATAATGTGAACGAACAAGAAAGAAATAATAATATAGAGAAGATTAAAGATAATGATCAATTTTCTTTTCTCGGTAAAGATTTACCCATTAAAAACCTCACTTGAAAAATATTGATGTTAATTATCAATCAATCAATCAATCATGCACTCGCTCACTCGCTTTATATGTAAAAGTGTTCGTTATGTGCTATACTTTACCAACATATAAATATTTTTTCACGTTAACTGTTTTTGAACATAATTTTAAACATTCATTTGACTGTGTGTACTCTTTCTATTAATATATTTTTAATATGTATATTTTTTTCTTTTTGCTTTATTTACATTTTCCTTTTACGCGTATTGATATGCAACACATTAAACATATCTATATTATTGCCTTTTACGTGTGATGGTGATCAATAAAATAATGTTAATAATGTTATCTATTCTATTTCAATTGACCAATCAACCAATTGAGTCGATCAATTAAACATGTTATATTACAAATCAATGATGGCTTGCGCTTATACAGGTTTATTTATATATTATCATGCTTATTTGCAACTTTGTTTAAATCTTGACATTTTAACAATAAAGATGACGATTATCTGAAAAATAATTTTTAAGGGGCATGATCTAAATTAATTACAAACAATTAATAACAAGGAAGTTGAGAAAGTTAAAGACGAACAAAAGATAAAAGATAAACGAGGGTGAAATAAAGAAACGAAGAAAATATTATAAAAGAGGGAAGGTGATCATCAAAAACTTATATTTAAAAGTTTATTTGATGATCATCATCAAAAGTAAACAAAAAAAAATATTAGGAAAACAGGTTTTTCAATTTCTTTTATTATCACGTGTAAAATCAAGTTTATGTAATTAATTAATCGCTTGCTTATTTGTTTATTGTAAATTGTGACAAGAACTTGGATTATCCCTCCGAATATGTAAAGTATTGTTGGTATGTATATTTGTGTATCAAAAGTAAAATAAGTAAAAATTTTTATTGTTGTTTTGATTACAGTTAAAGCCTCCTTCCTTCTCTTCAAAAGAAAGGAATGCAACAAAAATATCACGTGTGCACGTGACTGTTTACAGGGCCAACACCCTGAAATCATGGTTAGATGTAATATGTGAATGTGCGTATAAATTATATATCAAGTAAGTAAAAATGTGAAAAATGGTTTTTATTGTTAATTTGACTATATACATTAAAGCTTCATCCAAATGACTATGTAACGAAAATAATCACCTGACCACGTGCCTGTTTACAGGGTAATAAATACCCTGTAATAAATGATTATGATGTAAATGTGAATGTGCATGCATGTAAATATTTGTTTTTGTACATCAAATTAGTCCATTCAAAATTACATTTTGGTAAAGAAAGAAGCTGTACTGTCGGTTTTTTTATAAATTCTTTCTTCATTTTTTTTTTTAAATAAACATCAAAATATAATGCATGCATTGCACAATGGAATAAATTAATAATAAATATGATATTATATTATATCTTATTATTCAAGATTTATTTGGATATAAGGTTCATCCACACAATCTTAATCCATCCAAACGTTGTTTAATCAAACAAATTGTCTAACCCGCATTACATAGGTAAATAACTTTAAATGAAATATAGCGTCATCACACATAATGTACGTCTCATAATATTGTTTTTAACCTTTATTAAAAAAACACAAATATTCATACGTTTTATTGGATTTCTTATTCTCCCTTTTTTTAATAATCCAAGAAAATGTGAAAATTAAATTATTTTAATGTGTGACCAATTTATTTTATTGAAATGTACATAATTTACATTCATTCATTCATATTTTTATAGTTTGGCCACCTTTTATCCTTCCCTTTCACTCCTTCTTTCGTTCCTTTATTTTTTCAAGTCAAATGATATTATTTATCATCTGAAAGATCGCATGATTGGAACTAAACCATTAATTAACCTGGAGAATTCCCAACTAACTAACTTCTAATCATTTCACTCGCACATCCAAAATCCATCCATGATTAACAACATATTTAGAAGATTGAATCGACATCAATGGAATTCGCGTGTCAACAATAACAAATAATATATAATATTATTACATTTTTTTTTTTTTGTGTTTGGTGGTCATATGATGAATTTGTTGTTTGTATTACTCCACACAAATTATTGCCAAATATGTAATATAAAGATAGATGAAAGTTTTTTGTTCGACAAACAAAGAACAAAGTAGTTATATTATGTTTTGTTTTTTTTTCCTTTACATGAAAGACATATTGCTATTTTAAGATCCGAATTGATTGGTGTTGGAAAAAAATTTTTTATGTGATTCGGATTTGAGCTTGTTCCATTTGTATTGTATATTCTAGGTTCGAACACAATAATAAATAAATAAATAAATACAAGTACGTATGTGTATTATATAATAAATTAAATATTTTTCCGATAAGTTATCTTTGCAGCAGGCTCAACAAATTTCTGTTTTATTTTTCGACGATAATAATAACAATAATTACTTTTGTTATTCTCATTGATTTTCCGAATTTGTACAATAAAAAAAGACGGATCAAAAAAAAGGGTTTTTTTTGTACGTGAATGAACTGTAAATAATAATATATCACGAATGTGTATATACGTAAGTTGAATGTTGACGAGATTTTGAGTTTGCATATACTGCATATACTACCTAACACTGTAAGAAAGTATTATTTAGCCACATGTAAAAAAAATTACTTCCCTGCAATCCTTTTCTTTCTCTGATCTAAAATGAATGACCAAATTAAAAAAAAATTGTAAAATTTGAAACTATAATTGAATAATAATGAATGTATTATATATTATCATTGCTAAAATATAATAATTACATAATATTTATTAAAAAAAATAATCAAAACAATACATAATGTTTCGCTTTTGTTTTAACAACAACCAACAAAATTTGGTGAAATTAGCGAGTGAATGATGTGTATGGATTTATATTGGTCTATACAATATTATCAAGCAACTAATAGGTGATAAATAAATCGAAAGATAGTGAAAAAACTACATAGATAAAGAAATTATATATACAAAAGGTCATTTGACAATTAAGGATAATTATATTAATTTAAGCCATTGATTTGTTTAAGTCGAATTTTTTATTGGATTAACTAAATAAATAACTATTAATATCAAATTGGTAAATTATAAAAATTAAAAGATATTAAAAACGGTATATTTATTGATTAGAAATTTTTTAAAAATTATTTTTTTTGGTCGATTGAAAGAGAGAGAGCTCTCGGGTGAATATGGATATTTGATAAAGTTTAATAATAGGAATAATTATAATAATTGTTGTTATTGTTTGTCAATTGATTTGTTGGAGTAAATTAGTAAGTTTTAGTATTAGTAGTAGCAATGCATACATCATGTATGTTATTATTATTTATGCAATTGTATGAGAGAATTTTAAAAAAAAAATTTTTAAATTTTAAATCACCTACTTTATATCACCAACCAATATATCATATGCCATACATCACCAGTTTGACACATCACGCGCAACATTAACAGTTAGTGTTTACACGTTACTGTTATGGCATTAATTTTGCACGTTAACTATATCATTACGTAAATGCATACATACAATAGTGGATTTAACCAAATACATAAGATTATATATAAATAACAAAACCAAAGATATTTTCAATGAGTAAAAATAAATTTATTTTTGAATGATTATAAAGACAATTTTGCTTTGCTCGTTCGTACACAGAAATGATTTTAGAATAACCTTTATGATTGTGTGTATGAATGATTTATTAATTGATTGGTTGATTGGTTAATCTTTGATTTATTTCCTTGTATAGCGATTTTTTTAAGTGATAATTACGAATAAGCTGTGGTTTTTTATTGTGATCAAAAATCAAAAATTAATGAATAGTGATTTGAGTGATGTAATTATTTAATATTATTATTATATTAATTTCTCCTATTTTTTTTTTTTTTTTTTTTGCCACATAAAAAATATTTATTATATAATATATACATATATATAAATTAAAATTGAATTAAAAAAAATTTTTTTATATTGGACATTTTAAAAATTTTTTTTTTATTTGTAAAGGAAAATAAAATTATATAAATAAAAAGGATGAAGTTTTTATCTTCTACTTTTTTCTTTCAATTTCTCCAACAACTTTAAAAAAAAAAAAATAAAATCTTTATCTTTTTTTCATTTTCGAAAAAAATAATTTATTTAATAATATTTAAATAAAAATAAATAACTTTAATAACAATAATATTATATAACCTCTATAAAAATAAAAATCATTTTTCTACAACTTTTTTAATAATAACAATTTATAACAACTTTATAAAAATGAGTACAATCACAACCACAACCACAACCACAACTCCATCAAAATTTTTTCATATAACAGCATTTAATAGTTCGCCTATATCAACAACTACATCTGGTGGTAGTTCTCCTACATCAACAACAACGATTCTAGCCTTTAATAATCATTTACAACAGCAACAACAACAAACTCAACTATTAAAATTACAGCAACAAAATAAAAAAAAATCACAAAAAAAACTACGTAAACCTCCGTCATTCGATACCTATATCTTCAACAACAACAACAACAACAACAACAACAACAACGGTTTACAAAAAATAAACGAAACTGCTACTAATACTTCTAATAATATACCATATTATTATCGTCGTAACTTAAGAACTTCATCTTTATCTTCCAACAGCTCACTCTCCTCATCTTATTCATCCGATTTTTCAAACGATGATAACAATTCCTTCGACAACAACAACAACACTGCTTCTAACAACAACAGTAAAACTACCAGCACCACTTCACATGAGTACGATCATATCAACTATAATACTAGACCTCATCGAAGAAGTTCAGCGACCACAAAATTTGTTAGATTTGCTACTATAGCTGACGATGTAAATCATGACGCCGATGATTCCGGAAGCATAACCAGTTCAACTTGCAGCTCAATTGATGGTGATGATTTTGATGTAGAAGGCGATGAATTCTTCTTTCCAAATAGCGATTTCGTTGTGCCATCAAAAATATCATAGATTTCTGGATATTGTGATGTGTGCGGATCGTTGACGACCCGATCGTTTTTGATGAATGGATGATGAACGAAGTGGGATGGAAGAGGAATTGAATTGTTTATTTATTTATTTTTCTTCTTTTATATTATTTTCTCCAGGGTAAAATTTTTTTTCCCACAATACACACAATTTAAAACATTAATCAAAAACAATATAACAAATCAAAAAAAAACACTTTCACTTTTAAGCAAATTTATTTCATTATCGTTTTTTCATTGCGTTACACAATAATACCAAGACTTTTCTCCTCTCCTTCTTCTCCTTCTGCTCCTCCTCCTTGATGATGATGAATGTAAATAAAACGTATTAACTATAACTTGTTTAATAATAATGATCATCATCATCATGCATATCATTAGTAAATGTTGTGAGCGAGTGAGCATAGATCCCGATTAAATATAGTAATGTAGAAAAAAAATCAACCCAAATTTTTCTTTTATCTTCATAAATTTGTAAATTTAAATCTAATTTTTGAATCTAAAGTTTTTTCTCGAAGAAAAAAACAAAATAAATAAACTTTGATTTTTAGTGAAATTATTTACGCGTGTTTTTTTTAATTTATTAAATTGGTGGTATTAAAGTTACACAAGAGATCATAAGATGAGCAACAAGTTTAGAAATAATCGGCAATACTACAAATATCTTCTAACTACATATGATGAACAACAAATCTTGGCCTCCTCTTCTTTATCCCTAACTTAATAATAAACTTTTAACAAATTAGCCCACTTATTATTATTCCTTTAATGTATCCATTATCCTCTTTTCTCCTTGTTGTTGTTGATTGTTCTTAAAAAATTAAAATTATTTATTATAAATATGAATTTTACGTGTGCATATTAATTGGTTGTTTGTTATTATTATAATATAATTATAAATAAATGGAGTATACAAACCGAGCATTTCATTTAATGCAAAAAAAAAATTTACAGTCTGTGTTTCTGACATAATTTTTTTCAAGTTTAAAAACAAGTTTTTTTTTTCTTTTTCCTCCACTCATTTTTTTTCAATTTCCTCTTGAGTATCATTACTTTATTTGGCAATTTAATAAAGTTTAAATTGATACAAATTTTGTGTGGTAGGGTATGATAAAAATAACAAGACTATGATTATATAATTTTTTTTGTCCGTCTGATAAAATTTTTACTATTCAAGTTGCTTAATTAGCTTATAAAATAATTAATTAATAATTAATTAATATAATATAATAATAATAATGATAATAATATAATAATATAATAATAATAATAATCTATTAATAATAATAATAATAATAATAATAATAATAATAATAATTTTTTTATTGTGTGATTTTCACAATTCAGATCAAGCCTTCTTTTTGTAGTTCCATTAATGCATCCAAATCATTTGGTTCCGAATGTTCTTGAATAAAACAACTATCGATTCACCTCAACAATGAACTGGAGTTTTTATTCCCTGTACCTTTGCATCATCATATGGGGCGTGCCATTTTTGTTTAAAATAATTCAAATAGTCAAATAAAGTATTATAGCCCGAAGGAAGACAAAATAAAAATTATCTTATCTTATCACCGCCCCCAATTTACAAATCACATTTCAATTAAGTCATTCTATGAATCTCTTCATCATACAATACTCTAAATGATCATTGGGACGTACAACTTATACTATTATCATTACGGATTCCTCACATGATATCATTTCTTGCACTCGGCAATAGGTGTCATGGGTTCTTGGGTTTCTAAATGAGCCAGCCAGCCTTCATATAAACAATGATATCATCACTTCAATTGGTGCAATGCTAACTTTAATGAACTAGACGGGGCCTTGACGATCATTAAAAAACTTTTTCACTGTTCCAGCCAGCTACCTCAACAATCACGTCAATATAAAATATAAATATAAAAGGGAAACTTCCTAAAATAGAAATCGGAGACAACGCGGACTTAATATAAGAGTTTGTAAAAAAGTGAATGCATTGATTGACGAGATAAAAAAATAATTTATTATCATTACAATTAGTAATTATACTATCTATTTTTTATATTATTGCCTCCACCAAATTTTTTTCCCTCTTTACAATTAACAATTAATATATGTATTTTTTTTTTGATTGATCAATTAATTAAATTAATCAAAACAACAATTAACAATTAAATAAAAATAAATAAATAAATTAAACAATTAAATATAAATAATTTTAAAAAAGAAGTTAAATAAATAAAATTTTTGTTGTTATTATTATACAATGGTGTTGCTTTTCTTCCATACCATCGAGAATTTATTGGCAAAACTATTAATTCCATTATTACTAACATTGTTAACAACATTATTATTATTTTGTTGATTCCAATAACTATGATTGTTGTTGTTGTTGTTTGTTCCAACGCCATTACTAGCATTATTACTGATATTACCATTAGCACTAGCACCATTCATTACATCTTTGACTTTTCTCAACATGGCCAATCCTTTAAGTTTTACTTCTTGAGCTCGTTGATATGTTGCATTTATAGCTGTTGTTGTCGTTATTGGACTTTTATTATTATATATTGACAGTGATTTATTTTGGTAATTATCGTAATATACATTTCCACTAGCTCCATATGATGCGTAATATTCGTTATCTTCTGCTTCTGTGTCTGATGAAATGTCGATATCTTCTCCATTTAGCTTGGCCAACAATCTTTCCTCTCGCATTACATATGCTTCTGATAATACTATCAATGGGTCTTGTATTGGATAATTCTGTATTATCGAGATGGAAATAATGGTGATGGATATTATTAATGCATATGTTGATCGTTATTATAATCAATTAAATTATTTATAATTATCAAATCGTAAATAATTAATTGTATATAATGATATTTACCTGCAATAATTTTATATTATCTTGTAATGTTCCCGCAAGTAATTGTTTTTCTACACATCTAAATAAATAAACAAAAAATGTTTTTTTAATAACAAAGCAATAATTAACAATCAATCTAATAAATTTTTATTATTATACATACATTAACATTGCACAACAAAAATCTATTAAAAATTCAAATCCACTATTTGACTCTTCAACATCTCTATCTGCGAATATAGAATCCCATAATCTAATTACATCTGGCAATGTGAATTCTTGTGTTAACATTACTGTTATCCATCGAAATGAGTAGTAAGTTGGATGTAATCCTTTTTTTTCCTGATTATAAAAAAAATATTTTTTGTAAAATTATATTTATATCAATTATATCAATCAATTGTAATTAATCGCATTAAAATATCACATATATACTATCTACATACTAAATCAGCCCATAAATCATACGCAAAATTTTTTAATCGTCTATTTAATTTTTTCATTGTATGCCCAATACCAGTCGAATCATCCATATCCAAGCTTCCAACAAAATGATCACGAACATGTGACATCAACAATGTAAATATAAAAAATGAATCTGCCTCTGCATGTGCTCTTCCCTTTTCATCACTATCGTTTGCCATGGTATAATAAATTGGTCCAAGTATCTTATTCATTCCTTGTACGTATCCAACGCCAGGATTTAACTTTGCATAGATAAATAAGATTCTTTCTATCGCTTCCCAGTGTAAATCTATCTCTCCGTCATCACATGACCCATCAGACACTCCTCCCCCTCTTATAACGCTATTTTTATTTATGTGCTGCACGCGCCTAAATATTGATCGCCGTGTCGGTATTGGTGTAACAGGATTATTTTTACTATTAAAATCGTTATTATTATCATAGAAATCAATGTGTGTGTTGTAAGATATTGATGTTGACCTAGATGAAAATGGTGAATTATAATCATTATTATTATTCCTATTATTATTACCACTACCACTACTGCTACTGCTACTACTACTATTATTATTATTACTGTTATATTTATTTAATGATTTCTGATTATGCTGTTGCTCATACGCTATTATGGTTAATTGAGCTTCTAAAGCAGCAACCTCAGCATCTAATTCAGAATTTGGTGTCATCACAGTGGAATCACTATAATTGCTCATATCATCGTCATTTGTCAAATCTAAAGTTTCAAATATTGAAGGAGAAATAGCACCACCATAATTTTTGTTGTTGTTGCTGTTATTATTATTATAATTATAATTACTGCTGCTACTACTACTATTAATATTATTAATAATATCTTTTGGTGAAAGTTTTGGACTTAGTGGACATAGTGAACTATGCGGTACTGGTAAATGAAAAAATGCAAGATCTGGTAATGTCCGTCTTACATCATTATCTATTTGCTCTAATATTACATTGTCCGCAAAATATTCTGCCCATTTTGAATTTGGCGCTGAATTTAATGGCTATTGAAGATTATATTATAATAATAGTAATAGTAATAATAATAATAATAATAATAATAATAATAATAATAATAATAATAATAATAATAATAATAATATTTATTATAATATTATAATTTTTTTGATTGATTGGAAAAAGAAAAAAAATTTGGAATAAATATAATTTATAAAATGTAAATATATAACGAAAAAAAAACACGATTATATTATTAATAATTACAAAAATAAAAAAAATAAAAATTATTAGTTTATTAATTACAATTACATGATCGTCTGTTGTAAAATTGGGATTTCTTAATTCTTCTTCACTTGGGTTCGCCAGCAAGTCCCTAACGAAACTCTAAATAAATAAATAAACAAACAAATAAATTAATAAATAAAATACATATATATACATATTATGTATATTGATAATGACGATGATGACTAACGTAATAAGTTTCTCTATTTTCATCAAGTGTTTTATGCCATTTCCTTTTGTCAGTTGGCAAATAACCTAATAATATCTTTATTATGCGTATATATTGTTAATATAATTTTTCTCCGTTAAAAAAAAACTACAATAATAATAATTGTAATGACAACAACCTTCCAACTTTTTTGTCTGATACCAGGCTCATCAGGAATCCCTGAAAGGTTAAGTTGATTAACAAATTAAGCAAGGTATTGAAATAAAAATATATAAATAAATATATTTAAACTCATACCACGAAAACATAGATGTCGAAACTTGTATAGATCTATAATATGATCCTCATTTAAATCTTTTGTACTAAGAATACTTTCAAATTGTACAAGTCTAAAGAAATAAAGAAAAATTATTAAAAGCAACTTTACTTATTTAATATAAATAAATATTTACCTTTCTTTATACTCCATTTAAGCCTATTTTTTTTTTTTAAGAAATAACCTTTCAACAATATAATAAAAATGTCTATGTTTGTGCGACATGGTTTTTGAATTAGAAAAATTTTGTATTACATCATTAATTATTATTATTATTATTATTACTATTATTATTATTGTGATTGTGTCTCCAATTGAACAAAACGATTCTTTTATTACTTTGTAAAACGTAATACAACGGTAAAATGACGTCTATTTAAACCTGATCACTTTGCAATTAAAAAAATGAAAATTATTAAAATGAAATGTTTTCCTTCTCCCTCCTATCCTTCCCTCCTTCACTTCTTCTTTCTTCCTTCATTTCATTTCTTCCTTCCTTCCTTCATTTTTATTCCTTAATAATAATTATCATTTACTGAGTAAATATGAATGCTATCATTTTATTTTTAGGAAATTACTAAAAATATCGTAAATCTATTAATAAATATTATCCCCCCTTCTCCACATATAGTTACTAGCTATATAATGAATAAAAAAAAGAATTACTTTATTCAAATCACCAGCTTTAATATTATTATTATATCACAATTGATAAATTTCTTTTCAAAGCTAGTAACCCCCATATTTATATCACGAAAATTGATTTCATATGGAATAAAAAAATTGAGTTGATAAAAATTTTTTCTTTAATTATTATGAATGTGAATGAATTGGTGATGGGGCATCAGATGATAATGGATTGGTAGTAAATTATTAAAATATCATATAAATGAATAAATGAATCAATAAATTGGTCAGTGAACCATTACAATTGATATTAACGTCATATTTATTAAAAGACGGGTTTACATGGTTTTATGTCCCATGAATTTTTCATTCAAATGTGTAGATTAAGGAAGTGTATTTTTCATTGCATGCACCCTAGCTATTCTTCTATATATCCTTATTATAAAACTTGTGTTTATTTAGTAGAAATGTCTTGTTACACGAAGCCATTTTTCAATTTCAATTAATTCATATGATAATTTATCTATGGACCAGATAACTCAAAATGGGGTGTCACAAAAAAGACCATGTTTTGAAACAAAAAGATTATGTAGTATGACGAAGCCATTTCTTGAATCAATGGCATAATTATTTTATGGCAAATTCGTATAAAGAAGATCGAAAAGTTTTTTTCTAAAACAGTTTAGGCGACAACAATTTACAGAGTCAATTTATTCACAAGGATAATAAATAAATAAATAAAAGATTCCAATTAATAAAATATACGTATATATTCGTGATTAGACCGCGATGCCACATTAAACCTTCTAATCGTGATATATTAATTAACAGGTTTGTAAAAAAATATGAATTTTGGTGATGTGTTGTGAAAGATGAATTTTGGTGATGTGTTGTGAAAAGATGAATTTTAGTGATGTGTTGTGAAAAGATGAATTTTAGTGATGTGTTGTGAAAAGATGAATTTTAGTGAAATGTTGCGAAAAGATGAATTTGGTCATGCTCCGTAAAAAAACAATTCTTGTAAGTAAATTTTAATTATGAAAAGTTATCTTTTGACTGAAAAGAAATAATTTTCCTTCATAACAGTCAAAGGGAACTTGATTGTGAAATTCAACAACCCTATCAGTTTAGATCTATAACAGGTAATAAATCAAGGAATAAAATTCCCTCTTACAGAATTGCTTGGACTTGTACTGGCACATTGGGATTTTCCCACGGTAACATCATTTTTAGCTTTACATCCTCTATTCAATTAATTGTTTGTGAATCGATTTTGATGGTGGCGGATTTGATACTGCAGTAGTAGTATTTATATAAAGTTTTTGTAATGATTTAATATTTTATCTGATTGATGGATCCATTTATGCAAGATATTCAAATTACTAAAAAAGTGTAAATTAGACATTGGCATAGCTAATCACATGATTGTATATATGAGATGTTACCCAGGGCCACGCAAAATAGGTTGTGTCACCTCGGATTAATCCATTGTTTCTGAGTGACGACATATTTGTTAGATGATAGAATTTTTTTATTAGAAGGTTTTAGCAAGCTCATACTCGTTCGAAAAAATAAATGCTAATATTAATCATAATAATCATAATAATCACATAATAATTTTGCTCTTTGATAACTTTTATAATGGAATAATTCGTGGCGGTAGTTAACGAGCAATTATTATCATGTCCATTATGTAAGCAGGTGGTACACAAAATTTTATTAAATGTAAGATGTAATACTTATCGTAAATCTTTTTATGGAAATGAACGAAACCAAAAATAAAAGCTCTCATTGTTCTCAGAAGGATTTTAATTTAATAATCATTATAATAATAATAATTCTTGTTTTTCAAAAAAAAAACCATCAATTAATTAATAATTCAATTACATGTAATCTGCCGCTTAATGTCATTCGATTAACCAACGCTTAATCAACCCAAATTTATCCTTGTTTATATATAAATAATCAAAAATAACTAGGAAGTTTTTGATTTTATAATAACAATAATGATAAATCAGGTTTGGCGTTTTGATGGTTTTTTTCCTCATTCATCTAATGAAAATAATAATAAATATCTAATGATAATACGCAGTAATAATAAATACACATGCAATAATTCCACTATAGAAATAGTTTTAATTGTGTGCGTGTGTATTTGGAGCAGTAAATGAAATGAGTTAGTAGATGGAAAATAATAATAATGGCAAAATTCAAACAACGAAATATTAAATGGTGTAACTAATTGGTTATGTTATTATTTAGATTTACATCAGAGATAATGCACATATTATTTATATGAAATAATTCACACAATTAGCAATTGAAAACAATGACAATAAAAAAATTAAAAATTGGCGAGAATATACATTTAATATCACATGTGATAAAATTAAATTTATCACTTTTTCGTAATATCGCGACAAAATTTTTTTTGTAAAAAGATTTCATCACTAGACATTACGTTAAGTTAATAAACAAAAAAAAAAACCACGAATAATTAAGACGCGTCAATTATATATTTTAAAAGAAAAAAATTTCATTATAAGTCACATCATATAAATAGAAATATTAAATCTTTATTTGGCAAGAAACAATAAAAAATATAGAAATTGACCGAAAAGGTCACGCGCTTCCCTCGTGTACACATACGCACATATAAAAGTAGCCCTTATAGTTGTAATTGTTACTTACGCTTTGATTTCTTTCTGTTTGTTTTACTTTTTTGTTTAATTTTTTTTTTTTTAGTGTAAAAAAAAATCAATAAGATTTAAAAAAATCTCGATTAAAACAATTTGACAGATACTCTGCTACCACTTTTGATAACAATTAATCTTCAATTCCTTTTTCACACTTATTATTACTATAATAATAATATAACTTTATCCTTTACTACATGGATCATCATCATCATCATCATCATCATCATCATATTCCTTTTAAAGAAACAAAGAACAAAAATTAAATCTTCTCCTAAGCTTTATGAAACGTGGATCACACGCTATTACGCACGAATATAAAAATCAACTTATTAAATCTTGAAGAAAATATTTCCTTTCATTAATACATATATATAATAACCAAAGTATTTAAACAATGACATTTCTCCATTTTTATGTACATCGCACATCATCTTACATATAATAAATTAAGTTGATTCTTTATTTGATCTATTGATTGATTTGAGATCGAGATAATCGAAAAAAAATGTGAGTTATGTATGATGATATTCTCGATTATATTCCAGTGATAAAATTATTTTTTAATCACCTCAAAATTACTGCGTAAAAATTTATCACCAAAATTCAATATTATCCCGTGACATGAAGGAATATCGAATTCCTTCTGTTAGTTCGTGTAATCTGGGCGCATATTCACAAGATTAACTCAGAGAATTATAACAAATGAGTCACTTGAAAAAAGCAAATAATTTACTGCGGATAACTTCTCAAAAAGAAATTAGATTCTCGTGTTTTTTATTTTTTGTAAGTTAATTAAAAAAAAATATATATATATTAAATAATGTAAAGTAAATAATGGTTAAATTAAAATAATTAAATAAATAAATTATTATATGACATCTATTAATTGTAATTATTTTTTATTTTCAAAAATTGCTAATAAACTTTGCCAAACTACATTAGGACTCTGAGAGGCATCAACTGCTGACCAAATACCCTTTGCTTTATAATAATTAACCACTGGAGTAGTCTGTTGGTGATATGTTGCTAATCTTTTCTTTAAAGTTGCTTCATTATCATCACTACGTTGAATTAACGGTTCACCTGTAACATCATCTCTACCTGGCACTTTGGGTGGACTATTATATTATTATTGTTATTTGTCAAATAATTATAGTTATTATTTATATTATTTTATATTATATTATATATATTATATATAATTATCTCAATCACTTACTTGAAAATTCTGTGATAAGTTCTACCACTAGCAGTATGGATCAATCTACCAACGATTCTTGACACTAACAAATTATCATCAATGACCAATTCAACTGCATTATCTAATTTTTTATTATCTTTCTTAAGCATTTCATCAAGTTTTGTAGCTTGTGGCACAGTTCTAGGAAATCCGTCTAAAATAAATCTATTCATATATATTCATATATATATATATATATATATATATATATATATATAAAATAATTGTTATTGTTATAAAAAAATCACTTTTTCTCTCACATCCCAATTAACAATAGTAGTAACAATAAATATACCGACCCATTTTTACATTCAGGGTTTTTTTTTAATTCATCTTCAATCATTCCAACCATAATTTCATCTGAAACTAAACCCCCGGAATCCATAATTTTCTTAGCTTCTACTCCAAGTTTAGTTTTTGCTGCTACTTGTGAGCGTAACATATCACCTGTTGCTAAATGACAAATACAATATCTTTCTTTGATCTTTGGTGCTTGGGTTCCTTTACCTTTATTATTATTATCAATCAAATCGATCGATCGATTATTTTATGAGCGCAATATAGCCAAATTTAAACGAATAATAAATAAATTTACCTGCTCCTGGAGGTCCTATAAGTATCATTCTTAATGACTCATTTCGTTTAGAATTATCTTTTGACTCGTTAGAATTATAAATTAATTTTTGTTCAAGTTTTTCAATACGTTCATTAGCAATGTTAACTACGTAACGTAAATGTGCCAATTCTTCTATAACTCCTGTTGTTGTTCCTTCACCTCCATTACTTTTCTCTTTTGGTTTTGGTACCATTCTGGTTTATTTTAAAGTTTATATTAGTAAAACACTTGTTATTATAAATATTATTGAAAAAAAACAAAGGAAGGAGAAATAAAAATTAACAAATTTATTATATCAAAAATTTTTTGAATAAAAATTTTTTTTGATCTTCTTTATTTCCTAATATGGTTATTCGTAATACATATAATACATAACTTGAAAATCACGTTACAATCATATTACAGTTGGCTCTGGATATAATATAGTGAATCGTACTATATAATGAAGTTAGAAAAATTCCAATTTCATTATATACAAATTGCTCTTGGTATAATGA